ACGCCCGCACCGTCACGTTGTACTCCGACTCCTGCTCCCGGTCCAGCAGCTCTGCAGTCACCACGCGGTAGTAATTATCGAATGATTTCTCTAGGCGGAATGGGAGGTTTTCTGTGATGCTGCACTGCACCTCGCCGTTGGCCCCGGAGTCCCTGTCTTGAACGCTGAAAATGGCGATTACTGTTCCCAGCGGTGTATCTTCTGGAACCGGACTGAACACGGACATAATGACAATCTCAGGAGAGTAATTGTTCACATCCGCGACCTTGATGTGTACCTTGCAGTGGGAAGCAAGTCCACCCGCATCCCGTGCTTGCACAACCAATTCGTAATACTCCTGTTCTTCGAAACTCAACTTCTCTGTTATTTCAATTTCCCCACTTTCAGGATCTAGTTTAAAAGTTTTGTTGAACTTCTCTGGGATTTTAAAGAACGAATATTTCACCTCAGCGTTTGACCCCTCGTCTCTGTCAGACGCTGTCACCTGTAACACCCGACTTCCCACGGCCACGTCTTCTCTCACGGTCACCTTATACACAGACTGAGTAAATTCTGGAGCATTGTCATTTCCATCTAACACAACTATTTGTATTGTTGTCGATCCCGATTTCACCGGACTCCCGCCGTCTGTGGCTGTTAGGATCAAATTATGAACAGCCTGCTCTTCCCGATCCAAAGATTTCACCAATATTAATTCTGGATATTTCACATCGTCATCTCCGTTTTTCACGTCCAAGGTGAAATAGCTGCTCTTGCTACATTCATAATTCTGTAAAGAGTTCACTCCTATGTCGGGATCATGAGCTTTCTCCAATGGGAAACGTGCGCCTGGTGCAGTATACTCGATGATTTCTAAGACACTGCTTCTTTCTGGGAAACTGGGAGCATTATCATTAATATCCAGTATTTCTACCTCCCCTTTGTAAACGTTCATTGGCTGCTTTACAAGAATTTCAAAATTTAGGACGCATTTAGGAACAGCTGCACATATCTCTTCTCTGTCCACCTGCTCCATCATAGATAAGTGGCCGTTCTGCAAGTCCAGAAAAAAGTACCGTGTCCTACCTGTGTCAAAAACGTGGGTGTCGCGGTGGCTGAGCGCCGGCGTCTGCAACCCCAGGTCTTTGGCCACGTCGCCCACGAACGAGCCCTTGGGCATCTCCTCGGGCACCGAGTAGCGCAGCTGCCCCCACGCCGCCTCCCAGGTCGCCAGCAGGACGCCCCAGAGCAGCACTCGCTGCCGCCGGCCCCAGCACCTCCCCTCAGCGCACATCTCCGCCGCCGCACCGCCGGCACCGCAACACCGCCGGAGCTCCCCACCGCCGCCCGACGATCTGGTACCCGCTTCGGCTCCCACCTCTTCTCCTATTCCTTCTCCGGCTCACCGCTCCCGGCCGCTGCCGCCGGCCTCTCCCCCTCCTTCAGCACGGCTCCGCAGAGCAGGGAAGATCGCAATCCGGCGTCTGCCGAGCCGGACACCGAGCGAGCGGCCAAGCGATTCTGTCCGCAGCGGGCGGGGCTGCAGCGCTTCCTCTCGCTCCTCTCAGTCAACAGCGGCGCCCGCAGCTTCCTCCTGGCACTGCAGGCACCGAGCCCTGCCCGCCCTGCCTCGCCCACGGGAAGCTCGTGGGGGTGGCACAGGCGCCACAGAGACTTCGGGCCCCGTCCAGCCCCCTCTAGCTCGTCTCTTCCTTGAGAAGCTGATCATGACTGCTAAGAAGGCAGAGGCGTCCCGTGGTTGTGAGAAAATGTTTTGTAACGGTGATAAAATACAGATATAAAATTCTCTTAATATGTAGTAGTTATATTCCTTTAGTTCAAAACCACTATCATCCCCACTAACTGCCCAGTTTTTGGGGCAGTCATGTTTGAGTGGCTTTTTTTCCTGACCTTTTCTGCCAGTACAGCTTAATACCAGAACGACTTCTGCCACCTTGGAATTCCAAACCCTGTGCAATAGCACAAGGCAGCAATAGACTTTTCCATGTTCAGGGTCCTCAGGTGGTCTCGAACCTGATCTTCTCTTACAGTGGGAGGGACTTGGCTCCCCCAGTCCCTGCCTTGAGCTCCATCCACTTGATAGGTGTGGGAAGAGACACTGCCAGGGATGACTGAGGGTTGAGTACCTCAGCATTCTCCTGCTCTGTTGTTACCAGCTTGTCAGTTGTGTTCATCACGGGAAGTTCAGGGGGTTTTACCTTGTTTTTCTGCCTGACATACCTGCAGAAGCCCTTCTTGCTATCCTTTGTATCCCTTGTCAAGTTCAGCTGTAGCTGTGCCTTGAATTCCTGACCCTACCCCTAAAACACTAGGCAACATTCCTATACTCTTTCTAGGACACCTGCTTCTGCTTCCACCGCCTGTGCATTTCTTTCTCTTCCCTTGGTTTGACCAGCAAGTGTTCCCTTGGCCATTCCAGTCTCTTCCCTTCTTTTCCTGATTTCTTACACATGGATTCAAGTGCTCTGTTTCAGTGTGTGGAAATCATCCTTAAACACCTGTTAGCTCTGCTCTGCTCCCTTGTTCCTCAGGGCACTTTCCTAGGGACATGCACTGACTAACCCCTGGAATAGGTAGAACTGTGCTTTTCTAAAATTCAGCATACTGAATTTACTCTTTGCCTGATCCATTTCCATCAGGACTGTGAACTCCACCAGTGTATGACCATGGCAGCTCAGACTGCCTCCAATCTTGATATCCCTGATCATCTACTTTTGTTGGTGACCAACAACTCCAGAAAAGCATTTCTTCTGCTAAGGGTTCTTATTACCTGGCCTAAGGACTTAACCCTTCCTACAGGGCGCCTCCAATGAGCCCCTTGGGAAAGCTCAGTGTTTGTTCAGGCCTTCCAAGACAGGAAAGTGCCTCCCACCCTTGGAGTAAAAGCCGTAATAAACCATCTATTTATGAACTGACACTTGGAGCCTCAAGCTGAAATGACCCAAGATCCAGCAGTTCAGCTATGAAGGGTGATGGTCTCTAGAGAGCTCAGTAAGAGAGACACACTGACTCTCTTTTATAACTCGCACTATTGGAAGAGATTAGTAGAGATCCTTCATCCCATTAGATGTGGAGAACACTCAGTGGAAGTAACTTCACACAGGACTCCAGCCACACACAGTAGCCATGCAGGCCCTGGTCATAGAAAAGGAGGAGTGCTCCTGTTTCACTCATTCAAGACATTACACAACTTTCATGAAGTAAAGCAATTTTATTTGTCATTTTCAGTGTCCCACTAAAAGAAGTTTGCATGTAGACTTCTTGCTCACAGTTGGCTTTCTCACTGGTTCCAAGTGAGAGCTGCCTGCAGGTTCTTTGCTTACCGTGAGATGAACTTAGCCTTTCACCAAAGGATTTGTGGAGCAGAACACAGCACAGCAGAGGCCTGTGCCTTCCCAGATTAACTGGATTATGGATCTCTTCATCCTTGATGTACATCAGTCTTCTGTCAGCATCACTACACCAGTCTCTCCTCAGGACTTACCTGTTCATCCGTATCTTGTGGAAGCAGTCCTGTTGTAGTCCTCTGTGTTTCCCAACAGCAAGGCATCTCCCTGGTAGCAGCTTTTACTCACCAAATTCCCACCTCCAGGATCTCCCATGGAATACTTCTCAAGGCAACCTGCATTCTGTCTTTGTGCCATCCTTTTCTGAAATTCCCACACCTTTAGTATTGCAAACATCATGTGCTCTGACACCTCACAGTTGCCATTTGCAGATGGAGCTGTCAAGAGAGTTGGAAAGGACACTTCCCTCCATCACTGCTTTGCAGGGGCCTTTGCAAACCCAGAACCTCTGTTGGGGATGGGGTCAGATTCCCCTGACCTGCATATTACTGGGATCCATCTCAGCCAGAAGGTCAGTGCTCAGAGGAGCCACAGAGGTCTGAGAGCAATTCCCTCCTCCCCACTGTTTTCCTGAATGTTGTATCAGCTGCATCTCGAAACTGGAGAAATATACCCACTCAGCATTACCTCAGCCAAAGGAAAAAGACAGAAAAAAAAAGGAAAAAGACAGAAAAAACCCTCCCGGACTTTTGAAAAGCTTTGAGGGATCTTTCCCAGAAAGAACAAATCTGCAAAGACTGTCTCAGTACAAGGCATTTGGATGTTCTCTTTATTTCAATTTTACACTCAGGGGTTTAAAATGCTGTAAAAGTTTATAACTTCAGCACAACACAGTGTGAGGCTTTCTGAATATTCTGTGCATCACAGACATCATTCAAAAAATACTTTATTATACATGATATGACAGTCCTTCTTAAGTAGAATAGGAAGGACAATGCTCAAACAGAGTTCAGAGAGTAGAAGGAGAAATGACAAAAAGGAGAATGCAAGCAGCCTCACACAAACCCAAAGAATCATGTGGGGACAGCTTTCCACTCCTATCAAGAAGTATTCAGGTACAACCATGAGGAGACCAAACTCAATGTCCTTTTTACCATTTCATCTTGACTCTACCTTCAGAAAATGCTCTTTGAAGGACATGTGGAGTTTTCATGCAATTCACCTAAAGACAATGAACATGTTTTCACAACTCTGCACAGTTACAATCTACCCCAAGAGCATTTGTACTGCTGTACTTCTGTATTTTCAAAATGATCCCAAGGAGATAGAACACCCAACCTCCCTTTAATAGGGCAAAGGAATATTTGTTATGTGTTTTGCTGCTCTGCCCTGCCCTGGAGATGATGAGACTGTTGTAACCAAAAGGTCAAAATACCCTTCTTACCTGCTGACCTGGAATTGCTTGCATTGCAATGGCTGAATGGAAGCCAATCCCTGGTTTGCTGGGCACCACGAGAACACGATATGCAGACACACGGTGGCTGTATTGACTGATATAGTGACAAGAAAGCAAAGGACACAGAGCCCACACATCTCAGAGACATCCAGAACCCAGGAAAGAAAAAGCCCCGTGATAAACAAATATGTGACACAATTCTTACAATGTCCTTACTTTCCTGAGCTGGAAAAGGGGGTTTCTGCATTTCAGTAAGGTCTGCCCAACTGTTCGATTGTGTTTAAACAAAGGAACAGTAAGAGAAATAAGAGCTTAGCTGGGACTGCTAACCCCATTCTCAAAGACTCTCAGAAATGGCTGTAATGGAGGTGAAACATATCAGTCTCTGAGTGTCAGACCCTTACTTTCTTTTGTTCAGTTGACTAGTTTTTGAAATGAGAGACAACATTTACTCTGACTTAGAATTTGCAGGAACTTGGTTATGTCAATTGCAAATACAGATTTATTGTGGAAGAAACATTGCCACAGGCTGCAGCCTGCATCCCTTCCTACCACAGGGCATGAAACCTCTGCCTGTGCTGACCCCGTGCTAGTTAAAGGAAAGACGGTTGAA